CCCCCCCCCCCCCCTCTAGACTTTTACCCTATCCGGGACCATCATATACTTCAAAAAATATTTCCCAATCTCTCCAAACAGTCTCAAAGGTATTCAAAAATATTTATACCCCAAACAACCACTTCCCAAAAGTAGCATTTACTATCACCACCAAAATAATCAAATCGGGGTATTCTGAACCCATAATATATTTTCAATATAACCAGTTATAATAGTCTCAAATCATACTTCAACTCATATCAAAATAATCACCAGAATTTTCCAATCCCAAAAGAACAATCCTCAAAATCACATATTTTAGCCATAGCAAACTGATTTGATAAATTCATCAAAAATCACACGTTCATAAAATTCCCAAAAATCACACATCATCATATCTATACTATAGTAACCTAAATATCCATAAAATTTCAGAAAGAAACTCAAATCATAGCATGAACCCTAATTAATACATAATAGGGGCAAAATAGTAGTTTTGGTTGCAATAGTCCTTACCTCGAGGCTAGCAACGAATCCTAAACATCAAACCTAGCTTGATGGGTCACTCACACATCCCAGAAGATTGGATTGTTTGATCACGTTCATGGACTCAAAAGTAGTGTTGTGAATGTTAATATATAAGATCTGGAATAGATAGAGCTTGAAGAGGCGGTCCTAGGGTTTTTGGAATGAGGAATATCGGATTAGGGATGTATTTATAGTGAATTTTCGAAGTTTGAGTCGCATTAGGATAAAACAGGGACGCACGCGTGCGTACCTTCCACGCACGCCGTGCGTGGCTGGCAGTAGCTATTCCGCTTGATTTTATTGCCATGCACGCCGTGCGTGGCCCACAAGCGCCCCAAACCTTAGTTTTTTCCCCGTTTATTCCCTGTTTGAACCTTCCCTTGGTCCCAAACAATAAACCAACCATAATAAACTACCTAAAGACCATCTAAACGATATGAAACACAATTTTAATTATTTCCCAAATTCTCCTAAATTTTCGGGGTATTACATGGACCTCTGGTATGAACGGGTATAAGGCCTAGCTACCACCGTTAGGGCGACTGAGTTACCGTGACTTACTCCTCCACCATTATGTTGGGTCAGGGTGTGGGGGCTCCTGGGCTGGAAGATTCCACCTTTTTTAAACAAACTATATAAATAATCTGGACCTATTTTTATCATTTTCAATAAAATCATGGTGATTTAGTGGTGGGATACAGGGTATGTTTGGCACAACTAGATGAAAAGATACTTTTATTAGTTTTTTAGTAACTGTTAGCTTTTAGTGACTGAAAAGATTTTAATAGAAAAATGTAGTAGTTGTTTGAAAAAAAGTTGACTGTTTGATTTAGCTCTGTTTGGTATACAAGCTAATTAATGATAGAAACTACAGATTTATCTGAGATGCTACTCACTGTAGCATCTCAAAAAATATCTTTTATTTTTATAAAAGCTCTTAAAATTGGCATGCCAAACATACAACCAGAAGCTTTTAAAGACTTTTTAAATAGTACAATAGCTAGAAGACCAGGGACTTATGTCTGACAGACATAGCCACAATCTCCTAATAAGTCAAGAGACCCCATATTGATAGTAAACCCTTAAAGTAATGCTACTTTTCAAACTAAAATAGAGTAAAAGCTACTTACTATAATTGGTATGATAGATATCCTCATATCCCCTACCAAAGTTAGGACGATATCCTATTTCTAGTAGAATAATTAATTCGAGAGAATAAATTAAAAAGTTCATGAACTGTTTAACCATTTATTCATAACCAAAATACTTTATACAAAGAAAAAGAGTTGAGTTTGGTGAGCGTGAAATTGAACCCGTGCGTTGCACGGAAATACTCAATATACATTAATGAGATGAAAGGAGATTGATTATTTTGTTACAAACTTATTCCATACTTGAAGTGTTATTAAATCGATCAATGATCATGTTATGAAGATAAACAGAGCACCGCAATTGCTTTAGGAGGGAAAATTGCAAAATCAATTGGCCACCCAATTGCTTTATATAATATAAAGATTAATTGTGTGTCTGGATGGACCAAACAACTCAATTGTAAAATTGCAAAATCAATTGAGCACCACAATTGCTTTAGGAGGGAAAATTGCAAAATCAATTGGCCAATCAATTGTTTTATATAATGTAAAGATATAATATAGAGATACATGACCGTATGAATAATAAATGACTTTTAATTGAATTAATTGTGTGCCTGGATAGACCAAACAACTCAATTGCAAAATTGCAAAATCAATTGAGCACCGCAATTGCTCTATGAGGGAAAATTGCAAAATCATTTGACCAACCAATTGCTTTATATAATATAAAGATCAATTGTGTGCCTGGATGGACCAAACAACTCAATTGTAAAATCAATTGAACACCGCAATTGCTTAGGAGGAAAAGTTGCAAAATCAATCGGTCACCCAATTGCTTTATATAATATAAAAATATAATATAAAGATGATCGTATGAATAATAAATAACTTTTAATTGAATTAATTGTGTGCCTGGATGGACCAAACAACTCAATTGCAAAATTGCAAAATCAACTGAGCACCGCAATTGCTTTATGAGGGAAAATTGCAAAATTAATTGGCCACCCAATTGCTTTATATAATACAAAGATTAATTGTGTGGTTGGATGGACCAAACAACTCAATTGCGAAATTGCAAAATCAATTGAACATCACAATTGCTTTAGGAGGGAAAATTGCAAAATCAATTGGCCACTCAATTACATTAAACTATCGATCGGAATGGATTTTGCGGTCAAAAATCAAAAGTAGAAACGCCATCATATGCAAGACTCTAAAGTGAAATAAATTAACTACTTACTACCTCCGTACATTCTTACTTAGTCGTATCGAAATTTTATTTTAGGAAAAAGTTATAATATTTTTTATATGATAATTTTATAAATCAAAAAATAAAATTAAATCAAAGCAGAATATGTAGATACTCTAATTAGTATGTATGAAACCAAAGTGTTGAAACTATAAAATCTACACAATATTATTGTTAACTTGAATTCTAATATTACAAAATAAAAAGTTGGATAATATAACCAAAAAAATCGTTACAAAATGTTCATAGATATGACCTTGAACAATTTTTGTTGTTATTGTCGAATCATTTAATTATGAATTGAATTGTGTACAGATTAATTTGTTTTCCTATTTAACATCTTGTCCTATGTAATTTCTCATTCACATGATCAAGAGACACATATAAATGGGAGTGAATTTCATGAGAGCATTTTGGATACACAACCATGCATTATCTCAGTGTTGCAAAGGCTCCCACTTATGGTGAGCTAAGAAAGACTCGAATGTACGCATCCTTATATCTATACTAAATCATATAGAAACTATTTCAGGATGATCAAATATGAAAATCGTGTAAAAGAATTACAAGGATTGACTATTGTTTAATGACAAAGAAGCACAAATAGTTAATGAACTATTTTACTTTATTACACCATATTTCTAAGTTTAAAAATAGCGACTTTTTGGCTTCATTGAAAATGATGGAAATAATGAGAGCATTTTGGATAAACTAATAAAGTTCTGATTTAGTTATTGCTTTAGTAATTTTCTAAAATTTATTCCAACTTATTTATAATATACGTTGGAACTTTAATTTATTTTAAACAAATTACACATAATATAGCTAGTAAAAAATGAGAAATGTGTGAAATTTCAAAGCATGAGCATTATGTAATGATTTTATGCATGCTTGGAAGTTGGAAATGGCTTCAAATTATGCATTAGTATTGTATAGTAAAGCGTAATAATATTAAACGGTGGCAGGAAAATTTTAGTATGACAGTAATTAAGTCAATCATATCATACAAATAATACTCATGGAAATTTTATATCTTATCCCTCCGGTCCCAAAAGAACTTCACTGTTAGATTTCACAGTAAGAAAGTAAATTTTTTTGTTTTGACTTTCTCATTATGCCCTCCAAAAAGTAGATAAAGTATAGTGAGAATAAAAAAATGGGTATAAAGTAGGTAATAAAGTAAGAATATAAGAATAACTTTGTATTAAAATGTTGTCAAAAATAGAAGTGTGAAATTTATTTTAGACTTATCTAAAAAGGAAAGTATAAAGTTGTTTTAGGATCGGAGTAGTATTTAAGAAATTTTCATAACTTTTACTCCGTATTATACTAGTAATATATTGAGTTAATCAACCTTGGAAAGTTAAATTCAATGAAAGGAAATACCGGTGCAATGATATCACACAGGTATTTTTCACTTTTTACCGTTGCTTTTTATTTTCTAAATTAGAAGGAAGAAATACTCCGCCATAAGTGTGTCACTTTTGACGTTTTATTTTAATTTTCATAAGTAATTTTAATTTTCACTTTTGACACTGTTTTACATTGTTTTGACATCGTTTTGACACTATTTTGCACTGTTTGGACACTGTTTTGCACTATTTTGTTGTAGATAATTTACCAAATAAGGAAAGTAAGGAAGTGTGAACTTAATTTAAGGACTGCCCAAAAAGGAAAGTGTGAACTTAATTGCGGAATGGAGGGAGTATTTGTCAGTTTATTATTGCTCTAATGATTGATTTGAAAAATTACTGCGTGCCTTTCTTCTTGATTACTCCGCCTTTAAAACTTTGCTAGTTTTTTTTGAATGTCTCACAAACTTTGTCACTTTTGATCTCTTGATGCACTTATTTGATCCGTTAAATAATCTGAGGTAAACGATTCATTAATAATTGATAGATTCTATGGTACCCATAAAGTGTCATACCTTCGTCCACATGGACCAATCAGAATGTTGCTGCTGAATTATTAATAACTAAATTAAAAATGATATGATGATTTGGACCAATAGTATGAATGGTAGGTACGGTACTCCATTTTTAAATAGGTACTAGAGTTGTCACCTTAATAATTTTAACACCGTTTTAAGGTGGACCACCTTACTCTTTCTGTGACGCCGCTGTATATATGTATGACTCCGTGTCATTTCTCGTAAGCCCCCCTTCAAACACAAAGAAGAAAAATGGATTCCTTCAGGTGGTCGGAGAAGAGCCAACCCGACGGAGTTAAACTGCCGGAAAGCCCACGAGAGCCCATAGAGTATCTATCCAGGTCATCCAGCCTCTCCGCTATGCAGGAGGTTTGCCGGGCATTAGCTCTTCCGGCGTCGTATCTGTTTTCCAAGGTCAACCCGGAAAACACCGTCTCCGGCGACGGCGAGTCCGAGTCGGCGCGGCTCTCCGGGAACAGATTCTCTTTCGGCGGTTCTTCCGTAACCTCCCATCTCGTTCTTGAACGCATCATGTCACAATCCGTAAGTATTTTAACCGCATTATCCGTTCCTTATTCATGAGTCATATTTGCCCAATTTTAGGAGCATTCTATATGTTTGGGAAAATTCCACAGTAAAAAGAATGTAATCTTTTTATCTGTATAGGAGTTTTTTTTGTCCATTTTTAATTCCAAATTGTTTTGGGATTTAGGGAAATTTCTTTTATTTGTTTATTCCTTGATTAAGATTCCTTAAAACATGGTTGATTTCACTATTTCAGATGCATAATGGGCAAGAAATATCGCCATTAACTTCGGGAAGACTTTCTTATAGCAGCGAACACTATAATGGTTCGCACACGGAAGAAACAGATAGCACAGCTCCCATCTCACCCTCTGATGAGTTTGAAGATGTCATTAAGGTTAGATCAATTAATTAATAATTTAATTTAATTATGTTTTTACATCATGCTTTCATTATTGTGAGGTTTATGATTGTTTAATGAACTTGCCAGCTGTTTTTGTGTGTTTTCTATGCATTGTTGCGTTGTTGAACCCAACAAGCCGATACACAGTACTGTCACTGTTATTTTAGGCAAAGTCACACACTCACACGCTACATCACTCATGGTCTTATGGAGTAAAGAATAACTTATGAAGCACTAGTAACTAGTAAAGTTGGTAGTTGAGTTTAATGGTGATACATTTATAAAATATGCTATTGTGTACAGGTCAGATATTTTCATTTTAGTAAATTAAATTGTCTGTGGCGCCAAAAAATGAATTGTGTATGCACAGATATTTCGGGGTTAGAGACAGTTATTCCTTTTAAAATGAAAATCAATTATATGTGCACAGACAAAATACCTGGCGTGTACACGTAAATAGATTATATGTACACAGACCAAAATACCTGGCGTGTACAAAAATCAAGTAACATTTTTGTACATTTATTCATAAGAAATTGCTCTAAATAGAATAAAAGTGATACGGAGTAGTCATTTGCCAAAATAGATATTTTTTGTTTTTTTGAAACTGAAATAATGAATGGCATACTAAAATGATTCCGTCCTATTATAGTAGTGATATCATCATATTATTGTCTAATAATTAATAATATAACAATATGAACTTTGGATGACATGCACTATTCTCATTTCGGGAAAAAATTTATACTCCTATATAGGGGAATGACCTTTTCTCTCTCATATTTTAAAATATTTCTCTTTATTCATTAGGCCTCTTATTATACTTGGTTGGACTCAATTTAGAATACACATTATCACAACAATGTCATAGTAGAAAATATAGAAATTAGTTCAAATAGGACTAAAACTATGACAAAAACCTAAAATAAGACTTGCTATGTTTTTATTCCAAAATAGGACCATATGAGTCCTATTGGAAACATACCTATTTTTGCATTCCATTCTTACCCTTCCATTAAATATGAATTAAAAATAGTCAAAAGCCATAATTAAATGTTTAATTCATAATAAATTCGAAAAAATTCAAAAGATCGTAGAAATATAATTAAAAAATTTATAAAATTTTATAAAATAAAAAATTCAAAAACTTTTTTTTTTAAAATAATTTTATTTTTAAAAAAATTAATAAAAAATAGTAAAACTCCGTAAAAAAAATTTAAAAAATATGGATGCCTTTCCCACCGCCTGTACTACCTCTCAGCACCACCACCTCCGGCCGATGAAAAAAATGCCATTTTCCCAGAAAAATGCCATTGTTTTCTGAAAATGCAAAAAAAGTGGCATATTTCTCTTTTCGAATGCCAACATTTTCATTTTTTCTGCCATAAATATGGCATTCGTAATGAACTTGGCACTTTTTTCCCCTGGTGACTGGAGGTGGTGGTGCTGAGGCGGCACAGGCGGCGGCGATTTTTTTTTTGAGTTTTTATTTTTTTTTTTAATTTTTTTTTAATTTTTTAATTTTTTGAAAAAAAAAATAATTAAATTTTTAATATCGAAACGTTTTTCTTAATTTTTTAGTATTTTTTACGAATTTTTATTATTTTTTATTATTTTATTGGGAATTAAAACATTTTAATAGCTATAAGGGTATAATTGTCCAAGGTACACATAATTAGTCCTATGCAAACATAGTTTATTTTTTGGTCCTATTTGTGAAAAGTGAATGACTTTTAGTCCTATTTTGATAATTGACTCTAGAAAATACTAGGGATAAGGGATTTCTTGTTTCTAATAGAATATGGATTTAAATTGCTTGGGGAAAACGTGTGGGGGGGATCACTAAACCAAACCCTTCAACAGGCCAATGTGATCATGTAAAGACTCTCATGGACCTATGGCACTTTTTGGGTGTTGATGGTGTTAAATTAGTATCTTTATGGTTTGTTGATATCATACTCCCTCCGTCCCTTATAATTTTGCCAACTTTCCTTTTTTGGTTGTCCTAAAAACTTTGTCACTTTTCATTTTAATCAATCAATTTGTGGCTTCTGTTATTTCTCTCTCCTCTGCACAAATTTTTATCACACAGAGTACATTTTTTACTTTATTATTCTACGTGACGGTCAAACATAGCAAACCTTTCAGGGACAGAGGGAGTGTTTTTTTCTTGTGTTTTTTAATCAATTGGAAACAGTTGTAATTATTGGTGTGCACTTATCAAGTAGAATCAGTTTCATGTACAAACTTTGAATTTATGGACATTCAATCCATAGCATTTAAATATAATCACATCAAAGTGCCGCTTTGTCGCACTTTATTCGTCACACACGTTATCACTTGTCAAACTAACATTTTTTTTCTTTTTTTCTTTTTAAATACGATTATATAATTATTATTGAATTGTCTTAGTACTTTAGCTAGTAGTGTTTATCGACAATTTTAAGTTACTATTTTAGTATATTTCACTTATTAGTGCTACTAAAATAATGGGTTTCCCAAAATAATATTAAATGTTTTTTCAAACATATTTACAAAAATATGACCAGTAGTTACTACTCGTATAATAGTCTCATAATCACTCAAGTGTAAAATTTGAACATAAATTACTATAATTAATGTTGCTATTATGACCACTATACTTATACGATCACAGTTTTGTAAATAATCCTTATTTAGTCACATATATATGTATGTAATTATTTCTTGTATTAAAGCAATTGGTTTCCCAATTAGTATTAAAACAAAAATTGAACACAAAAATATAATTGGAGGTTCATTGTAAGCGTCACTGGCTAGGTCACTATAATCACTGTACGAGTCAAATGGGGGAGCTTATTAGGCCATTGTAGTGTAAAAGTGAATACATAAACACCAAAAAATATTTACATAGGCACTTGTATAAGAGTATTTTTTTTCCATGATTATGTATTTTTGTCATATTTGTGCCGTTATATATAATCACTATGTCATAAATTAAAGTCATATATGTGTCCATGTTTTATTTATATTTGTCATTGTATCACAAAATAATATTCCGTATGTGAAATTGCAATGCATCATAACATATCAAAACTTGGTACAAACATATATAGAGCCTATTAGATAATGCTTAAAGTGGTGAAAGTAATGCACTAAATGTAATCGAAATAACTGAATATCCTAAATTATATACGAAGTACAAAAAACTACAACTAAAATGTACATTATCCAACTCAAAATTCAAACATTTTTCTAATTCCTTTTCTCTTCGTTATCCAATTTAACTTGTATAAGAAATCAATGTTTAGACAAAAAGGACTGTAAGGCGTATAAGCTCAAAAACAAGCCTACGAAACGGCGGCCGCTTATTCTAGGATCCGGTCTTTTGAAGACTAGTCAAAGTTTTATTGGATCAGTCCGAAAACCAAAAGTTAAACTAGACAAAAACTAAAGTGTCATGACTATAGATTCATTCGGATAAATTAAAAAATACTCCGTAAAAGACATAGATTTTGGTGAGAGGTCTCTTTATTCTTTTCTCCGTTTCTAGTGCTACCATTTACATGTAGCTCCGTCCCTGATAATAACAATAACAAATACGGAGTAACAACTATTTAAAAAAATACAACAATTATGATAATTATAAGAGAATATTATCTGAAATACAACTAAAACAGTTTGAAAATTCCAAACTAGGACTGACATATTTTTATTCCCAAAATAGGATTAATTACTGTCATGTTTAGAAAATAATGTCATGTTTGAAGTCTGATACTGTCAAAACATGATAGTAATTAGTCCTATTTTGGGAATAAAAAACATGACAGTCCTATTTTAGAATTTTCAAACTGTTTTAGTCCTATTTTCGGAAACTTTCCCTAATTATAAATGAGAGCATCATAAAAAAAAGGATCGGTTGGACCATGATCCAAAGTTTAAAATTTTTGTTTCATGAATCAGAACAGAATGTATTATTAGGATCTTTTTACTTGAACTGTAATTTGCTGGTCTGGTCTGATCTGGTCTAGTCTGGTCTGGTCTGAACTGGTCTGGTCTGAACTGGTTTCTTTGTATTTTTATAACTATCCAAGTCTGGTCTGATCTGAACTGGTCTGGTTTGGTCTGATCTGATCTGGTCTGGGATGAATTAGGGTCCAAGTAAAAACATCCTTAGTCAATAATTATGACCTCTTCGAAGGTGGGGAGCCAATGGGGGATCAAGATCCGTTGGACCATGATCCAAAGTAAGGTGCAGACTCCAAAGCTTTGATTTGCGTTAAAGAAACAATCCGTTGGATCAATCCCGCTTTTGATGCTTTTGAAATAATCTTTTTAAGAATAAATAAATGAAAGAAAAACTTTTATTTCTTTCCTTGATGCTTTAGCATCATAATCCCTCACCTTTTGACTTGTCACTGGTCACATGTGGATTGCTGAAGAATATAAGATTCACTTTGGGTTCTTAATGCAAAAGAAAAGAATCATACTCCGTATTAAATCCACGTATAAAAGTAAAGATTAAAGTAAAATAACACGAATATAAAGGGAAACCTTTGGAAAAGAATGTGATCAAGTAAAGAGCTAAATTTAACAAAGCTAGCCCGAATTTCTATTTTCTAGAATAGTTTTCTAGCTTAGTGAGATTGATATCATTGTTGAAATTTATAGATGGCATTTATAATTAACATTTATAACAATAGAAGTAAAATATGAATAAAGCTCAAATGTAAGATTCGTTATGTTTTCTTTTCGAAATAATAGTACGATTCAATAAAAGAAAAAATAGACTTTCTGACATAGAACTAAGTCTCAATTTGTGGAAAAAGTAGTGCTACTCATCTTTGAGAAAATGTTCTACGATTTAATCTTATTTAGAGATATTATCTTGACATAACCAAACACTCGTACATTATAAAAAAAATTCACATACAAATAAGATTATAAGATTAGTGTTGCAGCATTTACTTTTATTGCATGCAATACACTTGGAGTTTTAGTTAGACCTCTAGTAGTGCAATAAAAAGTGTATGATTAATATTTGGGTAAAAAAGAGAATTAATGAAACCAGATAGTTTTTAGGAATACTAAAATTGAAAAGTGATAAAATTAATGAGACAGAACAAAAAAGTTTTAGTGAACCAATAGCTAATATACTTGAAGTACACATTCTTTTTTTTTTGGTGAAATTGGAGTACACATTCTGAGTGTAGGGACAGGTGCTAGTTTTTGTTGTTCTTGGAACTTTCCACAATAGCAGGAAGATGTGAGAAATGATGGTTTGAGTGTCCAAGTGGTGAAGTGATGCTCCTTAAATGTTTCTTGTTTTACATGCTTCCTCACCTTTGTCAAATCTTCAGTCTATCTTTCTACCCTACTTGCAGAGAAATGACCAGAAAAGAAAATATAGAGTGCCTTTGGTAATAATAAAAGTGACTGAATTCATGGATGATTCTGTTGAAATTTATGAAATTCTGACTGCAGTGGTTGTATTGGCTGATTCTGCTGATTCATGAAAAAAAATATATTTAAAATATTTGTTATTAATAAATTAAATAAAAAATTACTACGTATATGAAAAATAGCTAAAATGATCTTCTACAGTAACTTCAGCCAATACCGCCAGAAAAGTAACTTCAACCTTACTTTTTCTGCTTATTACAAAATTCAGAGCGTGAAATCAAAAGTTACGAGCCCATTTGGTGACCCCGTTTTTGGCTTATCAGGCTTATCAACCAACTTTTTCACTAAACACGTAACTTTTAATTTCGCGCGCTGAATTTTGTAATAAGCAGAAAAAGTAAGGTTGGAGCTTCTTTTCTGGCTGTGTTGGCTAAAGTTACTGTAGAGGATCATTTTAGCTATTTTTCATATAATTTTTTATTTAATTTATTAATAACAAATATTTTAAATATAATTTTTTCATGAATCAGCAGAATCAGCCAATACAGTCACTTCAGCTAGAACATTATAAATTTCAGCAAAATCAGCCAATTCAGCCAATTTTAGTGTTATCAAACGGGCTTTACGTGTTTGGTGAAAAAACTAAGTGATAACCCTGATAAGCCGAAAAAAGGGGTCACCAAATGGACTCATATTCTTTGTTTTATTACATGCTTTGTGGTCTTTATCCACTGTCTACCCCAACGCCGGATTTTGTAAACGAGAAAATAATAAATAGAAATTGCCCTAAATAGGAGTAAAAACACCTTGAAATTCCAAAATAGGAGCATCATATTTTTTATTCCTTGAATAGGAGTAATCTGCCAAGTTTGAAAAAAAATGTCATGTTTAAAAGCTTAATAATGTGAAACTTGGCAGAAATTTACTCCTATTTAGGGAATAAAAAACATGATATTCCTGTTTTGGAATTTCAAAACTTTTTTACTCTTATTTAGGAAATTTATATGTATAGAAATTGCTCTAAATAAGAACAAAAACGTTTTAAAATTCCAAAATAAGAGTATCATGTTTTTTATTTCCTAAATAGGAGTAATCTGCCAAGTTTGGAAAAAAATGTCATGTTTTAAAATCTAGTAATTCCAAACTTGGCAGAAATTTACTCCTATTCAAGGAATAAAAACATGATACTCATATTTTGAAATTTCGAAAAGAAACTCCAATGAGATTGCTGGGATCTGTCATTTTGGGTTCCGAAAAAGCTATCCGTAAATGCTCGTGTAACATTTTGGTACAAATTGTACATTATGGTGTACCTTTGAGTATACATTCAGTTTGATCCCGTCACCCAATAATTGCACATGAAATTAAGTCACAAGTAATTCATGTTTTGTGTGAAGTAAATTGCTCACGTATAGTTATTGTTTGTGATCAACATAGATGTGCTTTTAGAATGTTTTAACTTCGGACTGTAATTTGCAGGTCTGGTCTGGACTGATCTGATCTGATTTTTTTGTATTTTTATAACTATCAAAGTCTGATCTGATCTGGGACCGAATTACATTCCAAGTAAAAACATCCTTACAGATAATTACAAGATAAATAAATATAACTAAACTCATAAATGCTTAGAGTATACGAAGTACAATATCAATGTGAAAATGCGTTGATTTGTACGTTAGTTTATGTCCTTTAACACGAAAATTAAAGTAACAATAGTTATTTGGGACATGCCCTAACTTAGCTTTTCACACGGATCGGTAGAATATGTTTTTTTCTGCTTATTTCAATTCTCAAGAATAGACCAAATCAAGCTATATACCAAAATACACTAAATAAAACTAATCCAGATCATCAAAAGTTAGTTTAAAAACATGTATTTAATCTTAGTTTTATAAAACCAAAACGACGAAATTTAATGTTAAAGATAAAAAAGCACAATTTTGATGGCACCAATTGTCAATTGAGATGGTCAAAAGTTTTGTTAAAACGAAATGTTTTGAGGGTGAAGACTTTGAAAGATTTGAACTCCATTATATGGGCGCTATTCAGATATATGTAAATGTTCTAAAAGAAAAAGTGTTCGATATATTAATTTATCAAAAGCTTTTAACTCAAGTAAAATTAAAAAGGCCAATTTATGCCACCACACCCTAGTCTATATGTGGGTATATTGTTGCACAAATTGCAATTTAGCAAAAAAAATTATCAGCTCACTGAATTTTCAATTATGGATGCATGCAGTATTTAAGAGCAAACAACACTCTCCAGCCACTGTTCACAAACATCAAGAATTACAATAATACCAGTGGGAATAGCACTCCCATTGATGGGAATAACAACACTGTGAAGAAGTGGCTAAAGCAAAGAAGGAATAAGAAGAAAGAAGAAAGCAGAGCACGCAATGCCCAGATCCATGCAGCGGTTTCAGTTGCTGGACTGGCTGCTTCGGTGGCGGCAGTGGCAGCCAGCACAGCGGCAGCGTCTTCAGCCGGGAAAGATGAGGCAGCAGCAAAGACGGATGTGGCAGTGGCTTCGGCTGCAATGCTGGTGGCTGCGCAATGTGTTGATGCTGCAGAAGCTATGGGAGCGGACCGTGATCGCCTCATGTCATCAGTTAGCTCAGCAATTAACGTCCGCTCTCATGAGGATATATCAACTCTCACTGCTGCTGCTTCCACAGGTGAGGAATTGGAACTAAGACATCGTTTGTTTGCAGGATAAGAAAAAGCTAGTTTGTCAGACTCTTTTCTTTCCAACCCACCCTCTAGTTTCTGCCCTATTCTCTTAGCTAAGCAATTTTTTAGCCGGCATTATAGGAAACAGTATAAAGCTATGTGTACACATAAGAACTTGTATCCCAGCAAGCTTTTTCTTGACAAACACTTAATCTGATGAGTTATTCATCCTAAACATGAGCATATATCAACTCTGTATTTCAGCACTCAGGGGAGCAGCAACTCTCAAGGCAAGGGCATTGAAGGAAGTTTGGAGCATCTCCACTGTTATTCCCATAGACAAGGGGCTTGGAGTTGCAACAGGTAACAACAACAGCAATGGGTTTTATGAAGGACTTGACATTGAAGAGAATTTTCTCGGTGTCTGTAACCAAGAATTGTTGGCCCGGGGTAGTGAGCTTCTCAAGAGAACACGCAACGGTGAGTTTAATGATGACAACACCAAGAACAGAATTAGAAAAGTAGCTTCTTGGTTTTAAATGGCATTGTTATACTGCAGGTGATCTTCATTGGAAAATCGTATCAGTCTATATTCACCGGGGTGGAAAGGTTATGTTAAGGATGAAAAGCAAGCATGTGGGAAACACCATCACCAAAAGGAAGGAAAGTAAGTGACAACAACCTAAATGCCAGGCTCCCTCAGCACATGCATGTTTCCATTAATTCCATGACTTCATACCACCTCTCTTCATTCTATTTGTTTCACTTTCCTTAAGAAGTTTGTTATTACTTGCTTCACTTTTCATTCTTACACAAATTTTTTCTTCTTTCCTACTTTTTTTATTGTCCATCTTTTCTTCCCTATTTTTACTCCTAGTTCTACAGTCTTAATTTCCATTTACTTTGATTTCCATCGCTGGGCCAGTGGACAGCTTGATCTTAGTACACGCATTTTAGGAATTAGGGTAGAGGTCTTAATTATTTCCTTTTTAAGACATTGTTATCTTACATGGATGCAGATGTAGTACTGGAGGTGTACAAGGATATTCCTGCATGGCCTGGGAGGCACTTATTTGAGGATGGAGAACAACGCAAATACTTCGGGTTGAGGACAGAGGTGCGTGGAGTTGTCGAGTTTGAGTGTAAGAATCAGAAACAGTACGAAATGTGGACTCAAGGTGTCTCAAGGCTTCTCTACATTGTGGCTGAAAGGAGGAGGAGATTTCTTAGTTAAATGCATACAAAAGAAAAATATAGCCACACAAACTAGGATGGAGGATGAGTTTTTTGTCACAAAACTAATGTGTAATGCAAATACAGAAATGCTACGTGTACACGCTCGGTTACATGACGGCTTACACGCCGAAGTGTAATTGTATGTGCACAGATAATTAATTTTAAATTTATTAAAGGGAAGTGTATGTGTATTGTTTGTGACAATTCATTTTTAGAGATCACAAACACTTCCATTTAAAAAATTAAAATTCATTGCCTGTGTACAGACAATTACACTTGGCGTGCAAGCTGGTGGCGTGTAACCGAGCATGTACAAGTAGCATTTCTAACAAGGAATGCCATTTCAATGCATCACAATGTACACAAAAGCCAATGTTAATTAAACACGAGACTGACAATCAGCTTCGTGTTTTTCTCACCTTATTATACCCTTATGTTTATATTCAAGGGTTTTATGTTGTCCTGCTAAAAGCATGGAATTCATGTTCACATGGTTTGGGTCCCTAAAGATGTATTTGTTAGAAAGACAAGCGAATCCAAAAAGAGTAGTTCAAAATGGGGAGAAATACAGTGAAAACATTTTGAATTAAAGTTGTTTCCTGTGTAAAAGAAGTTGTACAGAGACCAGAGTAATATGAGTATAGTTGGCTTGGGGCTTGATTAATTGGGGTCCTATGAAATACGAATCACCACCCACAGGTAAAAGAACACGCGAGGGAAGAAGGAACAACAATCCTTTTCATCATTAACATATATGACACTGATGACTGATCAAAGTTATTGAAACTTGAAAGTCAATGATGAGCTCTTTCATGCTAATATATAGGAATTAGGGAGAGAAGGAACAATATCCTTTTCTTTTAGACATGTTTATCATTTTTATGGAGAACATGAGCTAGTGTTGCTATACCATAATAACCACGTAGATTTAACATACGGACCTAAACTGGAGCAATTTACCTTGTGCAATTGTTTTCTATCAAATTTCAGTGTAAGCAAGCTTCATACGACAAAGTGCCTTGAAGAATTATTAAAAGAAACATAAAAACGGGATTGGAAATGGTGCAAATAATGAATTATGAAGAGGAGAAGGTAGGCCTACACCTATAGTGGAAACAACATAGTGGAAATCATGATATTTCAACTTCAACAGTACATACAAATATACAAATTCATTGTTATGTGAACAACAATGCAAACAAATAGAGAACAGAAAGGGGGGATTAACTGCACTCTTCAACTATCAGTAGCTCTGAAAATGGTCAAGAGGGATAGAAATAGGTTGATGACATCTAGGTACAAGGCAACAGCAGCCCATATGAATTCATCATAACTGTAGCGTTTGATAAGGTTGTCTGTGTCATAAACGATGTACCCACAAAATATTATTGATGCCAAACACCCATAGATCATCACTGAGATCTTCCCCAAAGGAAAAAACACCTACATAGCCATCCAAGAACATATTAAGATTTCTTCTTGTTCTCGTTAATTTAGCTCAACAGAAATATGGGAAAATGAAACCAAACCTGGATCAGTGAAAACAACATAAGCACCATAATAGCACCAAACAGGAATGGACCTAGGAAATTAAAATCATGGCCTCTCCTGGCTGCCCAAAATGTGTATAAAGTGAGAGCAACCACTACTGCTGCTGTTAGAATGGCTGATTCAAGGATCACTTTCCCTGTTATTAATCAGGTCAATGATTCATATTCCCATCTTATAACCAATATCACTTCTAAAATCACAAGTATCAACCACCAATCTACGATTAGTTGTGAGAAATTGGAATAGTATCATACAGAATATACTAATGCGGCGCTGAATGTAAGAAATGTGCAATATGCAGTACTCATGAAATGTGGGTACGGGTAAAATGTTAATCCTTTGAAGAGATTTAATATATGGAAATGACATAATATACTTTCAAAGTGGATTAGACAGGATGTCAAATTTCATTTGAGTAAATAAGCATAGACTTTGCATATATTTGGATGTCATTTCATTTAGACCAAGCCACCTAGGTCTAAGTAATATGAACGTGCATATAATTACCAACAAAAAGATACTTGTTCAATTCATCTACTATTTATTTAATCAAATGTCTCAAGCATTCCAATGAATTGAAATCGAATGTTACGCTCATCAATTCTCCTCTCTTTTTCATTTGTATCAAAGATTTAATTTTACTTCTGGCCTTCATTTTGTTTTTTCAAACACACAAACCCTTAAAGAAAAGCACGCACAGAAGCCATCTGATTAACCTTAAAGAAAAGCAAAATAGCAGCTTGAGGTTCCAAGACCAATGCATTAAAATTGGCACAATGAACAAGCATAAAAATGAAAGAACTTCCACTTGATCATAGCAATTAGCAAGAAAGGCGAACATGTTTAGCAGTTGGCAGGAGATTAGAATAAAAACTAATCCTAAATAAGTGAGGAAGATATGTGAACAAAAAATGCAAAAATGGGACTCGGAAATGAAGAGAAAATGAAAAAGAGGTGCTCACCACTCGTGTATGCACAAGTCAATCCAACGGCAGAGGAAAGAGCAACCGTGAAAATGCCAAGCAGTATATAGTTGTAGGGATGCTTCTGGTAATAGTATTGCAGAGGGCATAGCACTGGAGGTAGCAAGCGATTTAATTAACCGGAATAAACAATCAAAGAAATGAAATTAAAGACAAGAGAATCCACAACGAAATATAAACAAGCAAATACCTATGAAAGGCGTGATGATGAGAACAATATAGAGAGCCAATCCGGCACCAGTAGTAGTGAAGAAGCGGGAGATATGATGATTAGAGACAACCACAGCGCCGACGGCAACGGATAGCAGCAACTGGATAGCTACAATCGAGTACACTTTCCGGATAAATGACCACCGGAGTTCCGGAGCCTCCAGCATCGTCGGATATAGCAGCCCGCCCCCTGACTCCGTATCACCCTTACCGCGGTTAGGGTTCCACATCGCTCAGATTACAAAAGGGTAGAACTCCGATCGCAGAAAATATTCTTCTGTTTCGTCTTTTCACAACTGATAAACGCAATTGCTTGACGCTGAATGCGTGGTAAAGAACGAATCATATGTATAAATACTCCAGGCCGGTTCGATGAAATTGGGACAAATGCGGTGGACCCGGAACTGTGGTTCGAGATCCTGCTAGAGGCCTCCCGTAGAAACCTTTTCAGTATCTTTCTTTGCTTACTTTCTAAGTTTTGATGAATTGACCGCAAAATAGAGGTAGGTAAATCCGTTTGGTTTGATTAAACTTAGGAAATTTCTAAAAAAACCAAAATTTCTGACAAAATTGTGTGGACTTCTTTATCATTGAAGCATGAATCACTCCGTGCAATATTTGATACGATTTTCACCATAAATCATTCGAACCGCCTAGACGAATATAAATCATAAATTAGAAATTGTACAAATTTGAATCTAACTAATTAAAATATTCAAGAAAATATTACGGAGTAATAAAGAAAAAATCCAAATTGAATATAGTCGAGCCAAATCAATCCAAAACATAGTACTTCGTATAATTTCTCATTGATAATTATTTTTCTGATTCGTTGAAAGTTGAAACTTAATCTAATCAAATCAAAGAACTCATCTCTAATTTTTAATAATAAAAATGAGTTCACTACGCTATACAATTTTATATTTGTTTGTAGTTATTTATAAGATATATAGTTAAAACCCACTATTACGTACACTTAGTAATATACTTAAAACCATTAAGAAAAAAATTCAGCTGACAAATAATTAAATATACATGATCAATACTTCTATACAATTTAATTATCTTAACACATTTACATCCATGTGACTATGTTTAGTTATACCGCTGACACATGTGAATATGTGATATCGAAAATGTTATACTTGTTATTTCATTATGTGCATAATAATTGTTTATAGAACAAAGAAGTCTAACTTATTTTTAAATCAATAATCATTAATTAAAGTTAATGTGCAAAATTTGTATATCACGAGATAAGGTTACGCATTTAGGAGGTTTTTAATCAGACTAAAATTTTCTGAGTTGATATAAATAGGTCCAGTACAGTCTGGTTTGTCTCAACTCATCTGATCTAGTGAATTTCTGTGTATTTTACAACTTTCTAAATATGACCTCGTACGATCTGATTTAATCTCGTGATATGTTTAAGCGTGACCCGATTTGATCATGTCTTGTATACATGGGATTGAAATCAATCCAGTTTTAAATATCTTTAATCCAATAGAAATTGGACCAATGATTAAGCGAACTATATTTAGGGCCTGTTTGGAAGCAACTGAACCGGCTGGAAGGGCTGAAAAGTCTGAAAAGGCTGAAACTGCTGAAGTGAAAGTGTTTGGTAATATGTCGACTGAAATTGCTGATTGAATGTAAAATTACCATTAAGGGTATTTGTTTATTTGTGTTAAATATATGGTGTGCATTTCAAAGAATACTTAATTAATTTAATTGTTTACTTTTAAATTTTCATTCTTACTCTTATGTCGAATTTTATATTGTTTATACAACTAATTTCCAAATAATGCGTATTTTCGAATGAGCGACATTAGTATTATTTTTTGTGAGTAATATGAGTAAATTAATTTTAAAAAATATATTTTCTATGAAGTATATTAACAAGCTCACATTCATTTAAACTACAATAAAATAAGACATAAAATACACATTAGTATTCATTGGAGTTCATTAAAATATAAATTCAAACATAAATACGTTAAGCGAAGAAAATATATAATAGAACACATGCAATCGCTATACACCATCAACGACGTTGCCTCATATTGCGCGTTAAATTTTCTGTAATTTCTTCTCGCAATGCAATCATACGTTGAGAACTCACACCGCGAACCTCATTTGAAGACCTTTCGGTTGGTTCTTGTGTTGGTGGAGTAATGCGATCTTCCGGAACAAAATCAAGATTTGTCTCAAAACAAAGAAAGGCGGGATCGTCATTGGAATATCGGCGGATGAAATTATGTAGTGCCATGGTTGCTAAGATAATTTTGACCTGCACCTTAAAAGGATAAGAAGGCATGAATCGAAGGATACGCCACCTTGCCTTCCAAACACCAAATGTTCGCTCAATGCAACTACGCAACGATGAATGCTTCTTGTTGAAAACGTGCTTCCTCTTACCACTACTGTCAGTCGCATCTAATGACATCCCAATTGGCTCACATGGAACATCATCAAGAAATCCAGTTTCCTTAACATTATTTAAATAAGTCATGAAATCAGACTCACTAAACAGTCTCACTTCGGGGATATTTTGTGTGGCTTGTTCTGTTATGTAGACATCATCTTCTTCTGCCAAAATGTTAGCTGCAAAACATGCATGTTGTCCTTTAGTTGCATGTCCACGGAATATCAACCACAACAAGTTCCACATGTTCATATCAAGGCCAACTGTTTTAAATTTTGCAATTTCTTTGTTTTCCTACAAATAAACAATGTATATTTAAGTACCAACACAATTTAAAGCCAGTACACTTTTTTAAAAAAAATCATAGAGTAGTATAGACCAAATTACCATTGTCTTTCGAGCCCACCACTCGTCATCGGCCGCAAAAGTGTTTGTTTCTGGATTCCAGCCTATACCAGTCTCCTTGCGAACTAACTTGTCCCATGTAGTATATTGGCGAGCCAATAGGTTCAATTTATTTTGGAGTTGCTTGACAGAGTATGACATCCTCATTTTTGAGATTTCTTTTTCAATTACTTTCCAGCCCTCACTACTAAATGATTGGTTTTTGCGATGCATTTGCAATGATTCCTTTGTACACACCTCAAGAAAACTTATGACCTCACGATCTGACCAATTTGCCCGTCGAGACTCATATGAGTCTGTCATATCAGGTATGTTGCTACTCATCTAATGCACATATTAATTCCAAATGAAGTAGTATTTAGGCTCTATCATATGATTGGTAAATTAGGTACGTGAAAATATATAACACTTTAACTAATGTTTAATAAATTACCTCGCTCAAAGACGGGCAGAAAGAAGAAACAACACCCAAATGAAGAAGTGGCCAACTATGAGATCGTTTTGATTTTTCTTTTACAATGCTACCATTATCACATAAAAGACACTTCCTTTTCAACATTACACTTCATAATCTACAAAACAAAACAAATATACATGTATTTAAAAAAGAATGTCATACACTGGTGTATTTTAACACAGAGGTATACTTTCAGTAGCTTTAGAAAGCCATTCTATCAAAAGTATCAAGAGTGGTACTGTTTTAAACAAAGTTATCAGTAATAGTATAGGTATACTTTCAGTAGCTTTAGAAGGCCATGGTTATTAGGGACTGGTAGATTGAACCAGTTAAGTGAGACCAGTTCTTACCAACAAAACAACAAGGCATGCTAATTCTATTTAATTGCCTAAGTTTTCTCAAGAAAGGGGTGTGATGAGGCTTATAATGAGGATTACATAGCACTACCTCATGTTACATAGAACTTTAAATATGAACTATCTGACATTTCATACTATCCGAACTATGAACTTTATAAAACTCCACTTTTGTATTACAAATAATAAAATGATAACACCAAACTGAATTCTTTTATTATACTATCCCCAATCATTTTGGATTTGCACAGTACGTACATTATACTCTTATATTTTTTATAACTTAGTTCTTGATGCACCTATCACTGAGTAAAAAAAAGGATACAGAGTTCATATTAAAAGGAACAATAAGCACCTGATGCCCAATAGAATAATCAATGTTCTTAACACTAAAAACAAATAGGTGACTCCCTGTTCTTCCTGACTGCTCCCATGGCAACAAACATTTGAAGAAGAAGAAGATAGAGGGTAGGTCAACTTACCTTTAGATGAAAATGGAGAACCCAAGCAAGAATTTGTGGATCTGGAAGGCAGAAACTAGGGCGCAGTCGAGGAGGAAATCATTGACCTGGACAAAAGTATGGCAGCTCGATCTGGACAAAAGAATGCGCAGCTCTGGAGGTTCTCGTCGCTATGGCCAGAGGAGAAGATGCGAAAGAAAATAAAAGGGTAAAGAGGTACTTAGGTCTGGCAACGGATACATTAATGAGTTTCAGAGGAAAAAGTAACCATTGGGTTACTTTTTTGGCTGATAAGTAATATCAGCCCAAACAGCCCAAATGGCTAGTGTTTGGCTCTTTTTTCCTATTTTAAGGCTTATCAGCCTATTTTATGGGCTCCAAACGGCACCTTATTTTAATACGAGCTGTTATAGTGAAATTTGATAGTTTGAAATGACTTATAGTAGAAAATATTTTTTTGGAAAAACTTATAACTGAATATATAAAAGCACCATTTAGGATGTTTTCTTTTGGACTGTTTTTAGTCCGAGACCTCAGACCAGACCAGACAAGACTTCCATAGTTATAAAATACACAAAGACCAGACATTTACCAGACCAGACCAGCAAATTTCAGTCCAAAAGAAAACATCCTTAATATGACGATGCTACCCTCCGAACACGGGGGCGTAGATCACCTGATAGAAAGAGGGTGTCACAAGAGAAAACTCTCAAGTTCAACTCCAAACAATGATTTGTCCACCTCACTCTCTTTCCATCAGAGTATTAAGAGCAAATCTCAACGTACATTCTTCCAGATAACTGTCTTATCGATTTTGAGGAGGCCTCTCGAAGATGGGGTGTCACCCTTTTTTTCTTACTCTCCAAACATATATATATATATATATATATATATATATATATATATATATATATATATATATATATATATATATATATATATATATATATATATATATATATACTATTATTTGTCCTAACAAGGACTAAATGGAAACTTAATTGCACAAATAGGACTAAAAGTTAAATCATCCACAAAAAGGATTAGACATTAATTTTCTACCCTAAATATTCCTTATCTAATTAATTATTCCCCTAGTTCCCTTGGGCAACCAGGGCAGTACGGCGGTGACAAGGCAGTCCTATATACATGGATATATTTGTTTAAACACACATGATTAGTCCTAATTGAAATTTAAAACTAGATATTCTATTTGTGATTTTGAGGCATGTTTTAATCCTATATACCTGGAGTTGAAAGTATGTAGTGTAACTAATCAGAAACCATAACCGCAACAAACCTGGATCAATAGTGTAACCATGATGGTTGTGATTATAGACTTTAGGATAGGGAAAAATACCTCAAGAATACTAAAAAATGTGAGTTTTCCCAAAATATGATCATCCATATGACCAAACATATAAAGCCAAACATGGGCGCACGGTTGAATAGGAGAGGACTGTTGGGAAAATAACCACTCACGTGAATGGAGGTCATCATGTGAGATCATAGATTAGGATATATATTAAACTAGTCATATAGGAAACTATCTAATATATATCCATGATAAATTTCTCTTTAGGATACCTAGAGTACGTTGTGTTGTTCAAAATTGGAACCTATCTTTACCCACGGCTTGCCCATTATTGATTTATTGGTCCATTATGATCTATTATTTTTTCAAACTTGTATATATATACAAAAGAAAAAGCAACAAAATGAGACTTATAATTCTATTCTTCAAGAACACGTACATACTAAAAGGCTAAAGTTTGAACAATTTCACCCAATAGGCCTCAAGAATTAGGCTTCATCATTTTAAACCATATGAAGTAATTCTCTAAGAATCTCTGATGTATATAAATGCTAATTTTTCTTTCTACTTCTCAAATGTATGTAGCTTTGGGTTAATTTTATTTAATTGGTTCTCTTATCCGCACTGTATAATTGAGAGATTAAATTTATGATCCTATATTTAGAATATACACCGTATAAATTTATAGGAAAAATTGAAAATAATTATCCCAATTATTGCCGGTCCGCTAACAATAATCATAACTATTTATTATTTTTGTATAATCCCAACTATATGGACCGTCCGCCAATAATGGTCCATGACCGCATATTGCATGCTCTAACAAGTGAATTTTTAATAGAAATTAAGCGTAAAAATTAAAATTTGGGATTATTATAGGGATTACATGTTATATCTCTTCAGAAACTATAGAAATTTATTTATAGTCGGTCACGTTGGACCATTATTGACGGAAGGTCTCTAAAGTTGGGATTATTCTGAAATAATCGATAGTTGGGATTATTATTATAAGTAGACCGCCAATAGTTGGGATTATTACAATCAATTTTTCCATAAATTTATCGTCTTTTCAATTTCTAGTTGCACGAAGTAGTTGTACGACGTACTTAGTTACGTCCTACTCTATTGAAGTAACATCTTCCTTTGTTGAAGGGAAAGTTCCCGAAATTGGACTAAAACAGTTTGAAAATTCCAAAATAAGACTATCATTTTTTTCATTCCCAAAATAGGAGTAATTACTGTCAAGTTTTGAAAATACTGCCATGTTTGAAGTCTGGTACTACCAAAACATGGCAGTAATTAGTCCTATTTTGGGAATAAAAACATGACAGTCCTATATTGGAATTTTCAAACCTTTTTAGTCCTATTTCGGGTAATATCTCTTTGCTGAATACACATCTCTTAACTAACTATTTTTATTAGTTTCTTTGACGTTATTTTGTACTCTATATAGTTATAAAATTTACATACTCAATCTTACATACATAAGATTGTATATATTAATGGTCAAAATTGTGCATCGACAAATGTGAAAAGTAGATCGTTGCACTTATTTAAGAACGAGGAGGTATTAAACTTTATCTCTAGTAAAATACAGCATGCAATGCTTTAGATAAAATTATTCCCACTTTCCTTTTTGGGTCATCCCTAAAAATTCATCCCACTTATCATTTTTGGATAATTTGTGTAGTTCAGATTCATTTGACCTTTTTCTTAATTTCCGTGTCAAGTCAAAGTGGAAAGAATTTTATGAGACGGAGGTAGTACCATATTATTTGAGGCATTTTACATTCATATACTATCTATATACCATATTACGTGCACTGCATGTTGATGTTCGGACCGGGGACGTTGGACAGGATCATTCCTATATAATGATATTACAATTCAATAAACATGTTCTGAGCTGAGACATAGGAATATGCATAGTACAACTTGTGATATGTTCACCTACATATCATATATTCATATTAATTAATACATCATACTAAAATATCATAATTCGTAAGCTACAAAAGGAAGGAATAAATCTTCTGTACTGATCCATCCAGCACCACTTTGCCCTAATTCGCTACTCAACGCATCCTCATCATCAGAATCATCACTTCTAACCAAACACGCCATAACATCTTTGTTGTTCAGAATGAATGGGTGCCTAAGAAGCATCCTAGCCGTCCATCTCTCCTCAATATCTCCACACTCTTTCTTGTAGAAGCACTTGTTTAAAAAATCTCTTGCCATCTCAGGAACATCTTCATCTGGGATCTCCGGCTTCTCATCCAATATTTGATTGACCAAATCATTAGCGTCTTTGCACAGCCATACCGGTTCTCCGGTCAGCATCTCCACCACCATGCAGCCTAGAGACCATATGTCGTCCGACGTGTTGTGTATCCCGGTGGCCAGATACTCCGGCGCCGCGTATACTAAACTCCCCCGACAATAGTGAGGGCACCACGGCTCTTCGTCGTCTTCGTCATCGTCATCATCTTCTTCTCCGTCCTCGTCGTAGTACGTTACGTCTTTATTTCCGGCCAGCGTGGACACCCCGAAGTCAGCAAGTTTGAGGAGGAATTTCCCGGAGGAGGCGGGAAAAGCTAGGACATTGTCGGGTTTCATGTCGCCGTGGACAAACCCTTTGTCGTGGACGTACCGGAGCCCGAGAAGGATTTGGTACGCGTAGAACGGTACGTCGGATTGCTCGATTCGGGGTTTTCGGCTCCTGCTGGGAGTGACTAGACCGCCGAGACTCCCGGCCGGGGCGTATTCGAGTAGAAGGTTGAAATCTCTGCCGCCTTGGGGAGTGGCGCTGACGTCCTCCCCGAAGCAGTGGATGATGTGAGGGCAGCAGCCAGGTCTTAGTTGTCTCAAGATTCTGGCTTCCCGGCGGAGGTTGTGGGAGTAGTTGATATTGGTGGATTTAACGGCGATGGGGGAGGAAGTATTATCTCCGCCGCCGCCGCCGCTGATGGGGAAAGCAAGGTAAACGCTGGCATGATTTCCACTTCCAATGGCGCCAATTTGTTTGCTCCAAGTATGTTTCACCATTGCAGCCGTACACTTAATGATAATTGACCTAATTAACCAAATTAACTTCGGAGTATATAATAATAATACTCCGTAATAATTATATATATTTGCTGAGAGGTTTATATATGCATTGAGATAGTGTATGATCGATGCTTAGAGGGTGCAGTAGAATTGTTTATATAAGCGCAGCTGGTTTTCCTATTTGAACTAGGTCGGTTGTTCGAAAATAAATTGATTAAGAAAAGGAAATTTCTAAAATTCAGAGAATCACGTATAATTTCCAGTCCTTAGAAGAAGGAAATAAGCCCCCGTAATCTATTTCAAGTCTTGAGATGAAACCAAAAAAAAAAAAACTTCCCCACAAAACAATCGAAATTCACAGACAAAACATTCAAAATCTTGTTTATACGTAGTATAGTTTATGAGATAAAATTAACTGCGTAAAAAACAGTTTAAAAAGTTTTATACTCCGTGATAATTATATTAAGGGAAAGTTCCCGAAATAGGAGTAAAAAAAATGAAAATTCCAAAATTAGACAGTCATTTTTTTATTCTCAAAATAGGAGTAATTACTGCAAAGTTTGGAAAATACTGTCATTTTTAAATTTTGGCACTGCCAAAACATGGCAGTAATTAGTTATATTTTGGGAATAAAAACATCATACTCCTATTTTGAAATATACACACGTTTGTAGTCCTATTTTGGGTAATTTCTCTTATATTAATCAACAAGAAAAACATACTTGTATTATAATTGCACACATATATATACACACACAACACAAATTTAATTTTGCTTTCGGAATTTCCGGACGGGACCGCCGTCCGGCCATCTCATATTAAGGTGCTTTCGGGTGAGTTTTTTATGAAATTTTATGAGCATATTACTCATGCATGAAGTATAGATTATGGAAAAATGATATGCTACGTATATATTACTAACATAATTTCCCCGGATAAAAATATGATTGTTTATGTTTTTGGATAAAAATATGACTAGTCACTGACTCACTGTGTACGAGCTGAGTAACTAAAAAATAGTCACTACAGTATATTTCATAGTCATAGGTCACTCGTAGATGATGAGTCGTCGGGAACTTGTAACTGAATATGTCACTTTTGTGGAAAATTTTAAAATACATCATATGTTTGTCTTTTAAATTTAATATAGTAATATTCATGGAAAAGCCCTAGATCGTGTCCCCCAAATTTGAGATAAAAATTCAATCAGGATTCAGTTAAATAACCTTTTTAAAATAATTGCGTTTTTTAAAAATAGATTTTATTTATTTTCAAAAATTTGTTTAATCGACTTTCAATTGAATTTTAAGTTGAAATTTGCTAGACACAATTTTATCAAAAAATCCTCACGAAATCGCCTCAAAGTAAGGTGATCAGACAGCGGTTCTGACCGAAAATTCTACTATATATACGTAGTTTATACTACATATTTTTTTTTAGACCACTGCAACAAGAATTTCTGTTTCATGAATATAAAAAAGTACTCAGTATATTGAAAAGAAAAAGATTAACTTGCGTAATTTTCTCCATATATCTATCTATACACACACTCCGTATATATAGTGTATATACTTCCTCTGTCTCTTTTTAGTTGCAACAGTCAACATTTCACGTTTGTCAACGCACAACTTTGTCCGTCATTATATTTAAATCTGTATTAGTAAAAATAAAATAAAAATCAGATTATAAAACTTAATAATGAGACGAATTTAACAATATTTTTCAAAAAAATAATTCACATACATTAATAAATAAAATGTAGTCAATGTAAAGTACATAAATAGTGTATATATTCCGATGTTGCAATTAATGTGAAACGGATGATAGTATGTCTTGTGTAAAAGTGTAAAACGACCGAAAAAATAGTGTTAATAAAAAAATAGTGTTAGTAACACCATGATGTGTAACTAAATTATAATAACAAAAAAACAGTGTTTAGTTTATTAACGAATATGACGTGTGCATTTCTTTTATTCTGATTGGTTAAGAAATATGGGTACCAAAACCCATGAAATTTAGTTTGGTACGGTAGAAGAACCCGAAAAGGAAATCTACACTTGATAAATTATACCAAGTGTTGAAGTGAAAATAGAAGCTACAAACAAATTTTCCCGAAATAATATATGAAGGAAGAGTTAACAAAATGCAATGTGTATTAATTAATGAAGAGAAGAGACATATAATATATAGCCTTACAATAATTCCTACATGGGAAGTGGGATTGTGGGAAGTGGGAACATGCAAACATGCTAACTAACCCACTAAAATAAATGCTTAACTTCAAATTAACACCACTAATTTAATAAATTAATTAACACATAAACCAAAATTAAATAAAAACTCCACCCATGCATGCATATATATGAGACCCATGACCGATTAAATCCAACAATCACCCCCTTAATCGGTCAGTCCTACTTGTTCATGGTAGTGCTGATTCCTCTTCCGTCAAGTATGCTTCTTGCTTCCCCCACTTAGGACACTCGTTGATATAGTGACCAAGTTCTCCACACTTGTAACATGTAACATGGCTTTTGTCCCGGACACGTTCATTACCGTTTTGACTCCTCTCGGATCCATGACCTCTTCCCCGACCACGTCCAAAGTCACCCCGACTTGAACCTCCGTTGCCACAATGCTTTCAACCGTGAAACTTTTCATCACTTGCCAACAACAAACCACCTTGACCGTCTTCCATAAGCCATACGTATCCATGATCGTCCTTACCTTGACAACCCACACCAGATAATTCGTCCAGATTAAGGCTGGAACTTGAAATGTCATTGAACCTCCTTCTCTTGGTACCAACGCCATTCTACTCTGTTTGGACAACCCCAAATTTTGTTGATCAAGCTTGTTACGAGAGAATATTCTACCGATCAAGAAAACGCGGTCACAATCACCGTTAATGTTTTCCGTCACCCGCAAAGCAAACCGAATCACAGCAACCTGCTATGAAGTCTTTCTGTCCTCTTATTCCGCAACCGGTTATACTCTCAACAACGCTGGAACAAGTCCGATCAAGTGAATCGGGACTGCCGTTGAGATGCTTCAACCAACGATCAAGAACGGCTCAAAAATTTATTCAAACGGATTTTTGGGCTCTGATACCAAATGTTAGAAAATAAATTGATTAAGAAAATCTATACTTGATAAATTATACCAAGTGTTGAAGTGAAAACAGAAGCTACAAACAAATTTTCCCGGAATAGTATGTGAAGGAAGAGTTAACAAAATGCAACGTGTATTAATTAATGAAGAGAAGAGGCATATATATAGCCTTACAATAATTCCTACATGGGAAGTGGGATTGTGGGAATGGGAACATGCAAACATGATAAGTAACCACCCACTAAAATAAATGGTTAATTAACTTCAAACTAATACCACTAATTTAATAAATTAATTAACACATAAACCAAACTTAAATAAAAACTCCACCCATGCATGCATATATGTGAGACTCATGACCGATTAACTCCACCCATTTTTAACTATTAAAAATAAAAATAGTCAATAGTAAAAATTGAGTTATAAATCAATGATATATCAAATCTATAGTAAAAATTGAGTTTTTTATTTGTGTAATATTGAAGATTGAACAATAAACAAAAGAACTTCTTAATTAATAATACAATATGGAATTAAAATCAAACTTTTCAAATTTGAAAAAGTTATTCACACCACATTATTTTTGGAGTTTACATTTTTCCTATCATGTACATAGGATAGATATGACCTTTGATTTATGTATGTCCTTTAATTTATACGTACTTCATTTTTTAACTAATTAAATAAGGAGTGAGATAATTCAATGATTTGCATATTTATAATTTATATCATCAAAAAATAAGTATTTATACATAAAGTAAGATGAGAGTTATGGTAATCATAAAAGATAATCTCTCCGTCTCTTATTATATGATGTTCAACTTTTACGATCATATCAATGAAGACAATGATGTTCAACTTTGACCAATTATGTACTCCGTATTTATAATATGAAAATGTTCTATACAGAGTATTAAAAATGCTATCATTAAATTATAAAGCTTTTAAGACTAAAAAAAAGTAGCTAAACTAATTGATCAAAATTTACGACTCCGTATCATTGACCGAAAGAGTCAATAATGGCTAACTAAAATGGGATGAAGGTAGGGATGGACCCGAGCCGGTCCGGTTCCGGTTCTGGTCCGGGCCCGGGCGGGTTTTTTTTTGCAAATACTTGGGCCCGGAACCGGCCCGGGTTGATACCGGGTCCGGGCCTAACCGGGCCGGGCCAGGCCCGGTTCAATGTCTAATTTTTTTTTTTGCTTTCTTGTTATCCCCCGACCCCACCCCCCTCACCCCCCACCCCCAAACCTCCCTAAAACACCAAGCCCTATCCTAGGAAAAGAAAAAAAATTGAAAAAACAAAAAACAAATATGACCCGGGCCCGGCCCGAACCGCCCGGGCCGGTTCGCCCAAAACTGGGCCCGATCCCGGCCCGCCCGGCCCACCCAAACGGGCTAAAAGCCCGGAACCGGCCAACCGGTTCCGGTCCCGGCCCACACAGTAGCGGTTCCGGGCTGGTTCCGGGCCGGTTCCGAGCCGGCCCGCTTTAGTCCATCCCTAGATGAAGGTGGTACGTTGAATATTATAACCAGTTATGTCTCACTATTTTTTGTCATTTTTCATTTTCATCTATTAGGTTTGTCTGGTACGTAATACTACCTCCGTCCATTAAAACTTTGCCAAAATTGATCGACAAAGAGAATAATAAAGTAAAAATTGTGGTTGAGGTTTGTGCAGAGGAAAGAGAAATAACAGAAACCACAAATTAATTGATTAAAAGGAAAGATGACAAAGTTTTAAGAGACGGAGGGAGTACTATTTAGTACGGAGTAATATTTATTGTGACTCCAACTTTAATTTATCACACAACATGCGGCTCAAGAAATAAATGAAGTGTGCTTTCCAATTTCCATGCCCGAATATACTTTATTAGGTAGTATTTAATTTATATTCTAGTAAAAATATGAGAATGTTTTACGGTGTTGTAAGACGTAAACGATTCGGTTTTTGGCAGCAAATTTCATTGTATATTCTTCTATTTCTAAACCTTACATCCGAGGCCCGAGACTCGAGACCCAAAACCCTACATGCTAAACCCTAA